CTAAGACATTTAATTCTTGTGTCTAATAGTTTTTGAGGCTACTGGGACGCTCTAAAACAACAAATACTAGAAAAGGAACCGTTCAGTTCGAAATTGATTTTCATTGTTTCTTTAGCCTTTTTACAGTTGTCGTTCTTTTTTCAGAACCAACATTCTGCGAAGTTTTTAGCCTCGTTGATCAGTCCTGTTGAGTCTCAGTCGTGGTCCAACTGACGGGTGATTTTTCTGTGTCCTCGATGTAGCGAATATCCTTTATCTGTCTCGACAATCGCCCTGTTCGATACGATAGCAAGAATGTTCAGCTCGCGGAAATTATTGAAGATAATTGGCGCATTCGTTTGTTTGGGATAGACTTTAGCTGAGATGCAGAGTCATGCAAAATCGAAAGCAGCATTTCTATTGGTCTCGCCTTGAACCCGTTGCATCGATTATGGCAAATTGTCAGATTGTGCTGCAAAATTAGTTTGTTTGTATCTCGAGGAGATGGAAATTTTTCTTCTTTTTGGAATTTGTACTCTCATATGGGGCGGATATTTGATTGAGCAGTGTTCGTCTTGGAAGTTTTTTGGGGCAAATATGATAACTTTATGAATTATTATACACCAACAAATGAACCATAGATTTCACCTGATACGCCTAGAGCAGCAGGGGCTATGGTTATGACGCTTCCAAATATATTTTTTCCCTGAGCGTATGTCCCACAGATTGTTTTCAGAAAAAGGAAATTTTTTGAAAGGATCCATCAGAACATTATAAACAAAATTTGTAAGCATTCTTCAAACTATGAAATATACTTGTAGTTTAAAATCTAAATCTGAAGGATTTGAAACCTCTGGCTGAGTTATAACAGACAATTTTTGTAGTATTGCATGCTACCTGACAATATAATCTTTGTAGTTTCCGTAGTCTTTCGAACATCGCAATTGTTAGAGGTCTGTTGGTTAAAGTCTGACTAACAATTGTTATAGTGTTGCTCATTCTACCCAGTGTTGGCTGATTTAAATCAATTGATTTAAATCAACAGTAAAAATCCGATTTAAATCAAGATTTAAATCAAAGCCTTTATGGTTGATTTATTTCTAGTGTTTATTTCTCAACGGCGGACCTGGAGAGAATTTTTTCAACCTACAGTTGGGTACATTCCAAGGAGCGCAATCGCCTAGGAGTGGAAAAATCAGCAAAGCTGGTTTTCGTTTTGAAAACCCTAAACATGTCCCGATGATTGTGAAGTATTATATTATGCTTTCAAAGTGTATCATCTGCAATTATGAAATGTTGTGCAGTTAAAATGTTCTCCAGCTTACACTGTAGGTGACTTTACACTGTAGGTGACTTTGATTTAAATCAAAAAAATCCGATTTAAATCAAAAAAATCCGATTTTTTGATTTTTTAAATAAAAATCCGATTTTTTTCCAACACTGATTCTACCAGATAGTATGTCATAGGAAATCCAGTTTTTTACGGTTTTTTGCTATTTTCGAGCATTTCCTATGTTTTCATGAGCATTAAATGAGAAAAGAATGTCAAAATATGTATTCGAACGTGTTGGAAACTGTCAAACGTCAGGTTAACGAAAATATTATAAATGATTTACAGACGAGAAAATGTTTAGGAAATTTTAAGTAAGATAAAGAAATGTCAGAAATTTACTATAAAATAAATTCTATGAAAATATTGTTCTAAATCTTAGATTTGGTTGATGTATAAATTTAATTTTTTGTTTAGAACGTAATCATTGAGAATGCAGCAAATACTGCCCCTAGTCGACAGTTTTTTAGTATGTTTTGGCTGACCTCTAATTTTTCTTTTTTTTTTAAAAAAAATTATTCAGAATGTCAAAAGTATCATAGTAAACGCGGTTACACTCAGGAGTTCCTTAATCTCATATTCCAGTCAAAATCGTATGAATTTTCTAGATATGGAAGAGTAAAGTATAACGTGGGTAGAAGTAAAGAGAGTCAATTAGTTGGGAATCAAGCCAACCAGATTGAGAAAAATAACACCTGCACAAAATAAACTGGAGTTCAAAGAAACTCAACAAGATTGACCTGATATGAAGCTACGGGTCTATCAGATACTTATACGAATTTGCGCTTTTGTTCCCTTGGTTCTAAAAAAAATTCTTCGAAAGTAGTTTTATCATTAATAGTGCCGAGTACACAGGCAGCGTTCGCTAACTGTATTGCGAAGAGACTCTGCTTAAGAAAACTACTTGTTGTCGATTCCTCGGTACACGTACTCAAGTTGTTACAGAGCTTGTTTAGAAAAATCTCAGTGCTAGAACCGGCGGCACCTTGAACTTCGAAAGCTATTGGTTAGAAAATATATTCATCATTAATTAAATCTATATTTGTCAGATATGCGCCGTCGCCGTTCCGGGGTTACAAACCGAGTCTGCGCTTATTCTACTAGTGGCTAGGGAGTCAACCTTGTCGCTTCTGACCTATCCTGTGGAGGTGTCGTGGCTCTTAAACAGAAGGAATGATCGGAGGCGAAACTTAGCTATATAAGGGCATTCAAATTTGAATGCCTAGAGAATCTCTTTGCACTTTTCAGACAAGATAGTCCATGCCATTCATCTTCGGTTAAATTTTTCCCGCAAAAGCATCTATGTTATTCACAAATTTTTGAACCTAGGTGGAGTCCAATTGCAATTCTGAGCCGCTGTTTTGATAACTTTAATCTTAGATTTTTACATGGCATGACTTTCAGCCATTGTGATCCGAACCTCTCCTGACAAGCATTGAACCGTTTCGCATCAATAGGTTCTTGTTTCAAAATCATTTGAGAAACTTCGTTATCAAAATGAGCTCCGTCTATTTTTTTTAGAATCCGTTTTCCGGAGCTAGTTCACATTTTGCTGAATCAAGCCAAAGTTTTAATCCATCATTATTTGTTCCATCCTCCTGCTCCAAACCAAAAATTTCACTTAAGGTAGCTTTTGCTCCTACTGAGGCTAAAAAAAGCTTGCGGAAGAAACTTTTGGCTGCCGGAAGATCTGCTTGCAGCTTGGCGAACTGCTTGCTGCCCTCTATGAAATTATCAAAATTTGGTTTCAAGGACTTACTAGTCTTTTTCCGGGTTTGAAAATGCCAGTTTTTACGATCTGCTCTAAGTTTTGCATCGATGCGAATCCTTTCTCGAAAAAGCGGAGAAAAAATGGTGTTCATGTGATGTGAAACATTCTAAGCGATATTATTGAACTGCTCAGTGTGACAACTTTACTAAGCTCAGCACGCGTTTTGAACAATGTATTGCAGATTGTGAAAACTAGCATTTTCAGACCGGAAAAAAACTGGTTTGCAATTTGATAATTTCATACAGGGCAGCTCTGATCATTTGCTCTTGTTCTATGTAAAAATTTTCTGAAATTTGTCCAAAATCATCTTTGAAAACAGGCATTTTAGAGAAAAAAGTTTGCGCTTTATTTTGTCCGGTAGTGTATTCAAGAGTTTGAACTACATTCATTGACTCTAAATAAAGGTCCGCCCACACGAAAATTGAAAGTAAATCGATGAACCCGAAAATTATTAAAGTATCTGCCTCAATCGAGCCAAAGTGTCGCGAGCTTGCCAAAACAGGATACGGTACGACGCTATCCGAAAACGAGAGCCGGTTATCCCCGCGACGCCCGTGATCTGAAACAGATAGTGTTGATTTATGGGTGTATGAGGCGGAATGCTTCATACGCGAAGGACCAAATGTCCGAAAATAAAAGTCAGCTAATCAGATTTCAGTAATCTAAAATTTGGAGAAAAAAAAATAACATTTCCAGGGACTGAATATTGATATTGGCCGAATATAAAAAACGGCATAAATATGAAAAATTATCAAATTGTCCTTGACCGCCGCCAAATTGGAACAAATTTTATATTTCAAGGATTTCGTTTTGAAAGAAGCAAAATATTGCTTCATTTAATTCATTTTACTTGAATGGCAATTACCTCTTTTTAAAAATTGACTTCGGTTTATTTTGTTTTCGGTCCTTCGCTCACGACTTTTTTCGCCCATTCGGTTCTTAGCGCATAAGAATAGCCCCCGGTGAATGGATCTACATTCAATTTTCGGGTGATTGGACCCCGTTGTGTTATCGCAAGTGTTGCGAAGCTCTTGCTCGGCTGGGTTCGGGCGGTAGACTTTTTACCCTGTAATTAAACTTGTTACCTTTTTCTTATGTTTAGTTCTTAGGAATTTTGTCTGAGGCAACGCTCGTTTGTCGAAAGTACCTGAGCATTCCAATTGTCGTTCTGTTTTGTGCTTTTTTGTAGTAGTCCCAAATTTGAATAACCTGAATGAGTCGAATTGCTTGTAACCGAGATTGTACACCCGATTTTAACCCCTATTCGGGTCATTAAAGTTAAGGTTTTGTTTCATAATTCAGTAAGAAGCTCTCCATATTCACTAACTAAGATAGTGACATATTCTGTGGTTTTCTGAGGTGAATTTGACCCTCTTTGTTGACGGCGCTTTCGAATGTGGTACATTGGGTACCGAAGTTGGATACCAAAGCCATCTGTTTGAACCAGGCTCGGGAGGTTTGCTCCGTTTTCCGTACCAAAACAGGCCCTTAGAAAGGGTTTTACTCAGTACTGCAATGGTGGGGGCCTTCCCGATCTTAGCGAATCCTGGGAACATTTACTTTTTGACGAAAGAAGAAAACGGACGTTAGAAGAAAGGATGAATCAATCTCCACTATCTTTGATTGTGGATTATTGGAAGTAAACGAAAGTGAAAATTCGAGTTGGACGGCCCTTCCTGTTTGCAGCTACAAACAACAACAACAATGTGGCGCATACGATTGCGATGCAAATTTGTAATTGGATTCTGAATTTTCTTATGCGAATAGTTTTAATTGAAAATCAGCGTGAATTTTGATAAAACTAATACGCCCAAACAAATCCATTTCTTGATGAGCATTATTTGACGGCAAATCGTTGCTAGATTCTTTTCATCTAACTTCAAAAAGATGCGAAATGATAATGTATTCTGAAAGATAAGTTTTTGAATTAGTCTAATCGACAATCGTTCACGGATTTTTTTCTGATTCTCGGATCCTGTTGGCATTTGTGCCAAGTCATTTCGAGAAGAGAAGTTAAAATGGAAAGAGCGGCACCCATGATAAGTATGTAGAATACACCAGCGACATTCTGCATTTGCAGTCCTCTCGCGGCATTAGGACTGTCGCTAGTTGACGATGAATCATCTTCAGCACAAAGAGATTCTGCTTCGAACCATTTCTGCCTGAGTTTCTCAAGCTCTCCAGTTTCTTGAAGGGCTGAAACGTTTGTTTTCAATAAATATTATAGGAATTTTGAAATGATACGCTGAACATTTTCCAAGTTATTTTTCTTTCTAGCTATGTATTTAGCGCAAGATGGGCTCATTTTTGATGCCCTTGCAAATAAATTTTCTCGGGTGAAATTTATTGAAGTACGAAAAATTTAGAACACCTCTTAAAGGAGAAAGTTAACATCACAGAAGTTATATTCAATCTTGACTTTAACAAAGTACTTGCCTAAAATGCTGAGTGTAATGCTTTCGAGATAGATAGCGTTCTTTGGAACAGCAAAGGCGTAGTTTTTCCTGTTGAATGGTTTTCCAACAGTTGTCAGTTCACAATGCTTTTTCTTCTGATACATGAGCACAGGGTAGTCCCACATGAAGGCGTAGTCCCCCTTGATTGCCTTCTTGTAACCCTCTTCAACGTTACTCACCATCGACTCAGATCTGGCATTGTCCATTTGCTTCCATAGCTGCTTATAAGTAGGATCTTCTGCAGCCTGTTCTGTACAATTAAAGTGGCAATTTAGAAATATCCGATTAGAAAAGAATTAATTTTAGTCTAAATTGATATTTTGGTTGTCTTACTTTGAAAAAATTTTTCCAAGCTGCTGTCCGCGACTGTGCCGAATATCACTTTTTGCTGCAAATAAAAAATGAAATCACAATTTGACCCTGAGATGAAGTTGTGGTTGTAACCAGGTCATGTCAACTGACCTGTGTGGCTAGATCTGACAATCCTTCTATGGGAGAGTCCATTCTCGTTACTGTGAGGAAGGCGGCTAAGTTGGCAGTATATGTGGCTATGATTATGAGAGTGAAGAACCACCAGAAGGTTCCTAGAAAACGGAAACCAATTCGGATCACATCTTAAAATAAAACCCTGATAAGGAATCCGTTGGAAGCTTTTGTCTATCCGTTTTTGCTATTAGCTACGTAAGTTAATACGCAATTTTTTATAATTATGTTAGCTGAAGAGCAGTAAGGTGCTAGATATTTATAGGTTTGGTTTTTCTCGCCATAGTGACCTTTCTGCTTGAATACCTATGATGCGCCCGCTGACAGTGTTTGGAGTGACGTCACAGCCCTGTTGCATCAGGGACGCCAAAGTGAACCACATACTGTTGTGAAAGTTGAACTGAGGAGACCTGTCTACTTTAACATCTTCAGCAACTCCTGGAGCCTCTTCTGGAACTCCCGTTCCTTTGGAGTCAGCTTGACTATTCTGAGAAGTGGTGCTATTGTTGTTGTGGTTTATATTTGATTGCATGATGGCTGACTGCGTGTTGTTAGTTTGGACGTAGGAATTGAGTTTGGATAAAACGAAAAGACATGTGCCTACTGCGAAAGAGGCAATAGCTATGCAGAGCCAAACCTGAAACAAATAGCCTCTCTATGTATCAATTATTCTTCATCATTATCGTTGCTTTTCCACCTAATTTTTGGATTTGAAACTGATTTATTATTTGCAGGGGATCCCACTTATAAGCACTTTGCAAAGCAGACTTTTGGTAGGAGTAGAACGTGCTTGGTAGTACGGTTTGGTTGAATCCGAATATATTTGCACTAACCTGAACTGTGAAAGGCTCTAGGAATCCGAATGCGCTGGTAGTCCTGCTGGGCTTTCGAACTAGGATACCCACTCCGTAGTCCATAAAGCTGGCCGTGAAGTCCACCACACTCTCTCGCTCGTAGTTCCTGATCATCCCAGCTACAGCCATGTCCGCTGAACAATAGAACACTCGTAACGCTGCTTCAGATATAAGTTATTGATGAGTATCTTGACTTTGATTAAGAGGCACTTAGCATAGTGGTAAGGCGTTCACTTTAGAAGCGTCAGATCGTGTAATCGATCCCATGCCATGGCAATGATAGTGTGTGAGGACGAGCTCTCACTTGACCTCTAGCTTCAGGTCTACCACAACCTGACCAAATTTGGCTGCAATAGTGGTACCACGTGAAAGTTCTAGACGCTTAAAAACCGCCTTGAGTCGCAAAAAAAAGAGCTTCGCTCAACAAAATAACACAGTCTGGAATGTGGGGAAATAATACAAACGGACTATCCTCGACAGGACTGTTAAGGCCTACTGATAGCTCCTCTGCGATTCGCAGGAACTACAATTAATTAATTAATTAAGAGATGCATATAGTATGATGATTTTCAGAAGGAAACTTCGAACAAAAAACTTAGTCTTCCTAAATCAGTTGAGAATTTTTCCCTATCATTTAGAGTGTAGGTTTTTACATTTTTAAAGGAAAGTTTTCATTTTGTTGGTGAAACAATTATACTGCTGAAAATGTTACATGCTGCATTTCACCTTTCGTCGAAAGAACTATTTGAGCGCAGTTTGTTTTTCAAGTAAAACATTCGTGTTCACCTTTTCCCCTGACGACGTCGCCCACCAGTCCCGTCCACTGGCCCTTTTCTTCGTCATAGACGCCGTAGCTGTTGTCGCCGACCTCGTAGAGCTCATACTCGAACTTAGTGCCCAGACTGCGCACATGGATCTGGATTGCATTGAGAATGTCTATGCAGTAGCCAGAGTAGCTCACACCTGCAGCAAAACATACAATATCGTCATCATCATCACGGGCTTCTTTTAGGCATTCGTTCTTGAATTCAAAAAGGCCATCGCCTTCATTCGCAGGAAAAGCTAAAAAAATACTTCATTGCTATACGATAATGAAATAATTAAAAGTTTGAAAGTTTCTATTCCCATTGTGCACCAGTGAAAATATATAAATTAGTGGTTTTGCTGGATCTCTCGCGTATTTTGTTACCGAGTGAAGTTCTGGTCTTGATGATGAAGGGATCCTCGACTGTGGTGACTATGCGTAACATGAGTCCTTTGAGACCCCTGAAACTGTCTCGGAACAAAGATGACTGGTTCCTCGCCACCCACTTCCCCTCCCCTCCTCCTCCCCCTCCCCTTTCCATGTATTGGGCGATGATTTCCCAGTGGGTATCCTAGAAACAAGCTAAATAGTATATTTAGATAACAATTGACTTTTTCGCATGCTTAATCTTGTAATACGCTCAGTGAATTTAATTAAACGTTGACTAATTATGAGCTCTTCAAATTTTTTTGAGCTTTTGTGTCATTTTTTTGGTCTGTGATAAAGTTCCCGTCGTTTCTATAATTCAATAATTTATAGAATTTTAAGAAAGGTCTCAAAACTCTTTTTCCAGTTGACTGTTCTGATGCAAATGCAGTGTTTAGACAACTATACCTTTGATAGCATCTTTGGTGATCCTATTGCAGGGTTGTCGTAGGGTCTGTTGAAGGAGTAGTTGGGAAGAAGAGTGTACCTCACTGCTAGTAAATCAGGAGAGAACTGAAGCCCCTCGGAGCTCGAGAAAGAAATCCGACCAGATAGATTACTCCTTAGCTGGTCAAATGTGAAAGACTCGAACAGACCTGCTATGTGTTCATCTGTCTGTTGGGTCTGATCTTCTTGGAAACACCGAACTGATTTCTAAAATTAAAGTACTGTTTTGTGTGGTAATAAGCGAAAAGCGTTATTATAGATGGAAACATGTTCATTCAGTTTTTTCAACAATGAACTTTCCATTAGTATGTATGATATTCGAGTATTACAAGAAAAATCGGAGCTCAAATAGCTATTTTTATATATACCGTTTTCCACTGCTGGTTTCTCTGTTTGACTGCGTGTGCGGTTGCATAGACTGCGTCCTTGATGAAGTCCACCGTTAGTCTAGTCTGGAATGTCTGTTGTCTGGGGAATTGTTGGTTCGAATTGGGATCCGAAGGAGCCAAACTGATCCAGTTGCTATCGTCCTCCTCTCCGTCTCTTGATTCTTTTGATGAGGGTGATTCTAGATTGTCATTCTGATGACGTCTGTCCATGCCCGTGTGAGCCCTGATTACAGCGATGACATTGGTGTCGTTTGATATCTTGGCCAAGATTCCAGGGTCTATGTCCGGGTTGGCTTGAACAGATATGAGAGCTTGCACCAAATTATTGCAAATATGAATGCACCAAATTATTTCATATTTTTTACCCATTTATTATACATGAGTCAAGAGATAGATAGTAAAAAATCATTTCCAATAATTCTTGGATCAAATTGCTAATTTTTTCTTATCGGTGTCTTCATTTTAGTTACGGGACCAATAGAAGTATAAGATTTTGATTTGGTCACCTAGGATCCACTTGTATGCTTGCCCAATGAATCCAGCCTCTTTTCCCTCTCTCAATATAGCCAGGGAGTTCTTGCTGTTGGCTACTATTACGAAATTAGTTATTTCCTCCAGTTTTGGATGTTTACTAGGCTGGAATGAGCCACTGAATCGTTGCTGTTGTTTCATGTCGTCTTGTGCCTGTAGTTTTTCTCGTACACAATCTACCACCTGGTTCCGAATATCCATTCCATTTTGTGTTTCCTGGTAGGCGTTGGAAAATTTGCAACTGAAACAGATACTGAGTCTTTTGAGCGTTATTTTGTCAGAACATTTCGACTCCGTTGCGTCCAGAAAGAGCCGTCAGCTTAACTCTCTAAACTCAGTGTCGACACCTTTGAATCTTTGGTTGGTTGTCAAATCATAAAAGTTTCAACGAGTCTCCGATGGGAGGATGCAAAAAAGCACTGATAGCCATCCCCCCACCTCCTACCATATATTCACTTCAGTTTTATGGTACTGCCTGTCGCTTTTCAAGGCTAAGTATCACAACCATGTGTTTAAAATTGATTCTTAACATCCGTCAAATTTCATAACAGTCGGGGACTGTGAATTTAAATTTCATGAGATAAAAATCGCAAATGTGGGGAGGGATGGGGAAAAAGCTGTCTAGTATGGCCTCGCGATACTTGCCCGTGAATGTGAACAGTCTGCCCGACTCTGCTATTTAGTGAGTGGTAGAAAGTGTTGAGTTGATATGGACCTGTGGAGTCATACACCACTACCACGTGTTCCCACTTAAGTCTCATGATAATGTCCAGAACTAGATCTGCAGATGGAGTCAACTGTGTTGTCAGTGGAATGTTGAACTGGGTAGATTGCCCTTGCTGTTGTTGCTGCCTCCAACGGTACCTACAGTTAGTGTTGGATTGTTAATTAATGGTGTTTTTTTAAATGTTAATTAATTTTTTAACGTTAAAAACTGCTGAAAATCCAGGAATGGTGTATAAGTCAGCCCTGCCTACAGTATAAATAAAATCGACTGCTCTGTTTTAGATCCCTTGTGTGAGGAAATTGTCAAGTGGACCATTATATTTCCACCTTGCAGCTTATCGTCGCCATGAGATCATTGCAATTGTATCTTTCTCTAAAGTTTCTCCGAGTTCTATATTGTTCAGCTAATGCTGTAACCTTGAATCTAGTGGCTCGTTTGTATTCGTTGACTGGTCTTTTCTGTTTGGGTATTCTGCAGGTTGGCAGCTACTTGTGTGTGTCATGAAGAGGTGAGTGACCCCCAGTTGTTCAGCCATGTAATACAGTGCGTCCCATGACTCACACGAGGTTTTTGTAATGAGGACATGTGGTCCACTTTCAAGCAGATTACACGCACGGGCCAAGGCTGAAAAACCACACGTTTTTGAACAAAGAAACGCAGATAAAACATCACCATTTTTGGGCTATGTTTCTTATCCAATCGTTTTTCGGAACAGCGAGGGTCAAGGCTGAAACAGCAGAATTTTCAAATAAAGAGAAACGGATTTTTAAATTATTTTTGGGTTATGTTTTTTTACAACAAATACTCTGAAAAGGCTTGCGAATCGCCCCTTTCCATGTGAATATATGTTTTTCGCTATCCAAAGGGTCTTTTTTGGGATCTGTTTTAGCACACGAAGTGTAAGGAGTCCTTCTTTGGGCGTACAGAGATAGTTGAAAGTTTATGGTGTCGATATACAAAATGAGGTGGTGGACTCTAAACCTTTAAAAGTCCAAAAATGCTGAGAAATACGCTTGCGGTGTAGAAATTTGGCAAAATATCTTCTTTTTGACACTTATGCATATAGTGTGCTGGAGAGTTCAATAATTTGTTGACCCAAACAAATTAAACAATTTTCTTAGTTTTTTCTAAAGTCACTTGTCGCTGACATGAAGTATTGTTGGTTACTTTTATAATGAGAGTCCAGTTCTTAAATTGTTTGTTTTAGTTGTAAAATGCGTAAGCATAGATTTTTACACGCCAAATTGATAAATACGTTTTGGCGTTGTGGTGATAGATCATAGTGAAGAATGGTTTTAAAGGTTTGAAGTAAGATCTTCATTGAACCGGTGCGCGTAAGATGAAGATCATTTTGTGTTATGTTCAGTCATTTTGTGTTGAATGAGCGGCAGGCTTAGCTTAGTGGTTACTTAGTATATGGTCTAGTGGTTACGACGCATTCTGACACGCATGAGGCGAAGGTTCGATTCCTTCTATACGCCATTCGCGCAATCCTGCTTTTTCGAGCCATGTTTCGATAGGATGGTGACCAGTCTAAGAGAAGAAGCAACACCAAGAGCAGAACAAACCCAATCTGGTTTCCTAGCCAACCAAAGGAGCCCTTCTTTGGTACTTTTTTATGACATCCATTTTCGGCTATCATTTTTGACCGGTTTCCGAATTTTTAAAATCCCCTGCCCTCGAGAAAATCCTAGATCCGCACCTTACCTTACCATATACTTTTTAAGGCCTTGTATGCGAAATTATTCATCTATTATTCGAATTTGGGTCGACCATTTGTTTTTTTTTTCATCAGAAGTTTGGCGAAATACACTTGCGAGATCAATTGTCTTGTAGCTGTGAATTAGACTTGTTTTTTCGTAAATAACTTTTTGCAAATGTGTATGAAATTGTAAATTCGCTTTATCAGTGAACCTTAGCAACTTTGAGACTCCTTCCCACTTGGCCCAGAGATAAAGCGGTGGCCTTTGTACCCTAAGGTCTGGTGTTCGAGTCCCTGTCGGACCTTGTTTATATTCAGTATGTATGAAATTTAATTTTTTTTCCGGAATTGGAACTGAATTTTCGGGCTTCCGTGTATCTACTTATGTTTTGTCAGCTTAGACGCCACATAGGGGAATTTTTTGACACATCGGGGAGTTGTCTTCAGTTAGATACCACATCGGGGAGTTCTCTTCAGTTTTCTTTGCAACTGTTTTTGATTTACTCCTGTAAATTTTAAAGTTAATAGCCCTGACGTATGTTATCATTGGTTTTCCTTCTTGTTTTTTTTTCGCTTCAACGCTTTATTTGGTGTAAATGGTTTCGGCTCATGTTTCATCGGGTAGTTTGCGCTGTTTCAAGTAAATTCAGGAAGGTTTAAAAATGTGAAAACTTAATTGCTGCAAAATTTTTATGACAATAATCTCTATTGGCATTTAATTGCTCTAAATTAAAATGACCACAGCTTCTATTGATTTTTTTGTCTCGAACCAATGGGCTTCTATCTCATTGTTGTTTGCTCAAATACTTCAACTTAACCATTTCAAAGTAAAAAAATGGCCTAACAGCTCTTTGAATTTCAAGAACAATTTTTGATTACACTTTTTTGATAATATAACTCAATTTGAGAAAACTGGATCAATTTGTAAAAAAAATTTTCCGCTGGGAAATCTGAAAATTAAATTCTAAGTTGAAAATTGATGACGTTTTTCGTGACTTTTCGACTTTCGTAAATGGAGACCGGCACTTACATGACTTTTAGCAGATGAAATTGAATTGAACTCAAATAATGCATGTATGTGCCTAGAAGCATTCGTAATTGCATGAATATGTATGGATGCACTTCTGTAAAACATAAGAGCGTTTTAAGACTTTTCCTAATAATAGCAAAAAATCATCACGACCTATATTAGTGTCTATAACACGTTCATCGATTCGTAACAAGCCTCTATTTGCCGAAGGCATTACGCTGAAAACAAAATAGCATCAACTAGACCCTGTTTTTTCTCAATGGGTTTGTAACTTAAAATCTGCTACTTAAAAAAACTTTCTCTGTGTTCCTGCTACATAAAAGTTGATACGTTAGATGGTATGAGGGCGTAAGCAAAAGTATCTCTGATTTTAATTTCTTTGCTACAAATATGACAAACTATGACCAAATATGTAATCACTTTCTGCTATGGCCAAGATTTTTGCTCTTAGATATCAGAAAAGCTAGTTTTTTTATTAGCGAAGTGGTAATTTGGCTATAATTAATCTGAGAAACTAAATTTGTTGTTTTCTTAACGAGATATTGTCTTGATTTGTGATCATCGCGATTGAAAGATTTTTTATACTAAATTCGGATTGGTTAAAATGTATGTTTTTATTTGGTCCTTCTGCGTGTATTAGTTCAAACTTTTTTTTTCTAACCCAACTCGCAAATTAAAGTGTTCATTAAAAGTATTCGCCTATTTGGTGGCATTTTTGCTATAATCACGATCTATAGCATTGGAAAACTCATAGCATCTGTTCTCTGCTTTATATATGATCAGTGTATGTGATCTATTAAGCGTATGTGGCTGAGTGGTTAGTGCGTGAGACTCATAATCTCTAGGTCGCAGATCTTATTTTACTCTTTTTGATTGCTTTGTATAGAGCTGCTTTTTGACGTGTTCTCGCTAGGGTTTGCGAAGCGAAGCTTTGCCTCTGTGTAAATAATTTGTTCTGAGAAATTTCATCTAAGGGAAAAGTGGTTGTTTCTGAATGTTTCTCGAGTTATCAAAGTGAATCTTATTCGAACGTTATCTGGTTTTTGAACGTAATCTAAGCAAGCGCAGAACTAAACGATCATCTTTGTCGAAATTATGTTTTTGTTACAAAGCATTTGATCTAGCTACATCTTTAGTTTTTCAAGTTTTTCGCTGCCCTGGATTCCAGTATTAAGTTGTGCTTGAAATTACTGGAAGGCATATCGCCATTGCCAACTGTGAAAAAAACGTGAGTTTTGCTGTGGGTTTTCTGGGAATTCTGGGTTTTTAAATTCTTGGTGTTTGATTTGAATAATTTCTTGCATTTCGCTATTTCCTTTGTTTTCTGAGGTTTTGCCCAGCTCTCTTGAGCAAACTCTCCCACAAGACAAACGAGATGTTCATGTGGTTGCCTTAAGGCTTGAATCTCTACCATGTTTCCTGATTAGCAATTACAAACTTAGTTCACTCAACTTGCGTTATTAGAATAATGATTTCCGGCTTCTAATTTTTCCCGTTTGGTGCAGATATAACGCGCTTGCATGGGAAACAAAGGTCCGTCCGTGGTTTGAGTCCGGACATGCTTGATTTTTGCGAGTTTAAAATTTTCTGCTTGCGCTTACTTGGTAACTAATGTATTGGAAGCCGCAACTAGACTTTTTCTTGTAAACAATTTGTCACAGACGTGATCTGGTAAAGCAGGTAGGAACTTGGTGTCTAAAATAAAAGTCAGCTTAGATACGTAGTTTGCACATTGACAGCAGAAAAAATTCTAGGCTGGGCCCAAAAAAGGAGCGCGAGCCGTTTCAGGGTCTGATAAGTTTTTATTTCGGCTATAAGAGGTGCCTTAATTTTCTGAATTTTTCTGGTTTTGTAGCGGTTTTGTCTGGTTTTGATGAAAAAACGAGCAGTGTTTAATGTTCTTAAAATTCTCTTATTAATTTCAATTGGTACCATGATTGTAGTTCATGGAGTTTTTGCTGTATATTTTCTTAACTGAATTTTTTAAATGAAAATTTCTCTTCCTTTTTTGTACTTTAAGCGAAGAAATATTAAAAACTAAATAGGTTAAGTACTCATCAAACCAACGAAAATATTATCTAAATTTAATTAAAAGCTGTAGCTATTATTGTATTTTTCCTTAAGATATAGCTTAGAAGGATTTAATTTGAAACAAACGTCTAAGTGTTTGAGATTAAATTAATACCGGTCAAAAGAAATTGATCCAAGAGATATGAATCGCTGCCAAAACTGAATCAATAATTCCAGAATGTTTAGATTCATTATGAATTTCTTTCATCTGAAGATAAGGTTTTAAAGGGTTGAAGAGCTAGAAGATAATGTAAGATATGATTCAGGTTTTGAGTCTCAGGCAAAAGTTGAGAAATTTTTGAAAACTGGTGGTTTAAATCTGCTCTTATTCCGGTTTATTGAGATATTTGTGACCCACTAGCGGATTTAGGGGGGTGGGCGCGGATGCCCCCCCGTCAGGGATTCGACCCAAAGGCCCCCCTTTTGTACTATTTTGAGATATCCCTTTTTGGCTGACTGACCCTAAAATTTTTGAGGCATTTGAGACCCTAAAGGAGCCAAAGTATACTAATTTTGAGGGGGGTGCGCGCGCCGAAAAAACACGATTTTTTGGTCTAAAATTTTCCAAAAAGAGCCGAAAGACGCCTTTTTGGGTCGACGAAATAAAAAGGTCGACGAAATTTTCGAAATTTTGTTGAAAATCCCCCCTCGAAAAATCCTAGATCCGTCCCTGTTGTGACCTTCGAATAAAAGTGAAATTAAATCACATTGCACCCTGGAGCAGTGTTGGTCCTTTAATAACACAGTACGTTTTAAACACTGTTTAAAACGTCTGTCAGAAATAGCGTGTTATTTTCTCGTGTCATAAATGACGCCATAACAAGCCAGCCTCCGATATGTGCTTGAGATTACTTGGAGTGTGAATTATGATTATGAACATATGATTAATTACTGGAATCCGTCTAATTTATTTGACGGAAACTTTTGTGATTTTTATCATGAACGCCACTCATAATCTGGAAAACCAAGCTTAGAATGAACACCAAACATGTTCATGAAATAAACCATTTAATGATAGCAAAAAAAGTGTTTTGTCTACCTTTGTAAGGGTCGACACCGAATGATATGTCTACTGTGCTCTCAATTTCAACTCCCATCCTAGTCCACAGAGTCTCATTGATCTCCGCGAGGCCCCGCGAGACGTCCCGGTGGTACAGGTGCGGTGTATTCTCAATAAGAACGGCCACTTTAACCTTCACAGGCGGATGAGGCTTAGAATCTGTAACTTGGTCCCCATAAACAGTAATGGATGCTAAACTGCAGAAAATAGGAAGTATCTTTAGCACCATTGGCGCGAGTTGTATCACAAATAACGAATTACAGTAGCGGATATAAACCATTTTGATGATGAAATGTTAATGGTATACCTTTGTAGATAATATTTAACTCTCAGGTTTAGTGAAAGTTCTAAACATTAAAGTATCGGTTATAAATATAAACTGCATGTCAAAGAAAACGTTTGGATTGGCAGTTATGTATGGGTTAATAAATAGGACAGGTTTGGCTGGGTTTTGGATAGGATAAGAAACCAGTAGCTGTTGTTGTAGCAGAATTGGCTCAATTTTCTTGTTCGAAGATATAAAAAAATCTTTGCCCTAACGTTAATTAGAGCAACACGTCCTTGAAGGTTGTTTGCTCTGCGTCACAATATTACCAATGTTTAGTAACCATTTTGCGGGTGATTTCCGAAAGCGCAAGTTGTTTCGCTATAATTGTCAAAATAAACTGGGAACTTCTGTTGCAATTGTGTTGAACTGTGAAATGAAAGAATGATTTATTAGTTCAGATGGAAAAAAACACGAGTAATTATCTTTTAAGGAGTTTATAAGTTTTTGTGGGCAAAGTTGATAAGAGTTACTGCGACCCTGGGATTTATTCAATCTTTACTTTGACGGGGAGAATTTATTCACTCCGAGCTAAGTGGCAAATAATTTTAGCCGCAGCTGAAAGGCGGGGCTATGTAACAGGAGAAACGGGAGTCAGGAGAAAGATGAATTAGTTTACGAGAGGGGGATGAAAAAAGAAATCATTTGGGATCAAGTTCAATGTTACGTTAATCCATGATCAATAATCAATATGATACGCTAGCACTCCGCAACTCTATTCGTAACACATTCTACTGTAACTCAAAAAAAATTACTCCGGTTTCCTATCGTTGTAGTTCAATGAATATTGTTATCACCTATTATTTTCTATGATTAAATTGGTATCCAAGGTGATAATGAAATGTGGTAATAATTGAACGAAGATGTCGGTATTCAAAAAGCTAGGGTATAGGTAGTCAGTAGTTTTTGAATTTGGGCTATAACTAAATTAGAAGTCTGATAATGAACGAACTAGGAGGCAATGAATTTTAGAGTGGTATCAACTGTCGCTTTGTTGAACTTGTGTCTGGTTTGAGAGCAAAGGGGGTAGACAGAATTGGTTTTCACTAATTAGGAATTCATGTCGCTCTGGTAGGGGGATTGAGCAGTTAGGATTTGTAATAAAAAGAACAGATTTGCTATAACTTCTCAGCGGGGACGAGAAAAGATTGACGGGAGTTCAGTTTACTTATTTACATTGGCAAAGCTGACACTTGTTTATGAATTGTCAACAACACTGACAGCTAATAGCTTCGCATGTAACTGTTACTGTTAATGGTAAGAAATGTGATATAGGACTGAAAAGATGTACGGTAATAAGTTCAGAGTTTAGACCAGTGTTCTAAAACAGGTTAGTTATTTTTTTGAGTATCACAGAATCAAACAAGTAAAGATGAAACCGGAAGGAATGGACTTTGCTGGAATCAGTTTTCATGTTCGTTAATAACAACGTTTATCAATTTTTGTATCGGTGCGCCGCTAAAATGGTTGTGCAATGGACATTTTGTGCGTGCTAGTTGAATTTCGTTTTTATTTTATGTATAATTTTCTTTGATATGTTGTTTTAGAAGCCGAAATGCCAAATTGATCAAAAGTATGTTTTTTTTTGTTTGATCATAGTGGAATATAATTTCATATCCGAGTTTTCCGTTGTTTTTAAACCAACATTATCCGGTGCTAGATTTAATCGTCAGAATTGAATTCAAAAGTCGGAAGTTCGGAATCTGGCTCATTGAAAAATTATAAACATCCGTCAAGTTTTTTTGATTTTTTTGTAGTTTTGTTTAATGTTTTGTAAGTGTGTCACAGAAACTTGGATAGGTAATGCAACCGCTCATTTTAGGCAGTAATTTTCTTTCAAGTTTTTTTTTCGGATTCCTGTTTTTCGTCCTAGTTTCCGTCGATTCATTTAAGTTTTTTTTTAATGCAAATTAGCTTATCTGGTACGTTTTTTGAGTTTATTTTCCGAAGCATGCGTTTTATAATATTGATTTAACAGTTTCTACTATGATTGAAAGTTATGTAATTTGTGATTTTTTAAATGAATTAAACGGTTTCCGCTTTTGTGATATCGGCTTAGTCAACTTACATTGCGTAGTTTTGAAGGCAACATTTATTTTTATGTGTTTCATTACAGATGGGTCGTAAAAACATTTACTGCTCATAATTGTTTTATGAAAACAGTTTTGTTTTTGGCACATAAGGGGCGACCCAAATTTTGAAGCCTTAGTTGGCGCTCGGTTATTGTTTCCCAATGCTTTTTAAGGGTGTCTATGAACATTATCTAGTACGAACATGAAATTTTCGTAGGTGTATTTTTTTCAACTACCGGTCGGAATATTCCTGCTACTTGCACAGCAACCGGCTACTCTTGTTTCAACATTTGCGAGAGGAAGTGTCTGTCTTGTAATCGGAAATTTTCCGTAAATAACTTTTCTTACAAATATCTTTATTATTCTTCTTTATTCACCTATCTTTACAAATCGTTTCTTTATAATTGAAACTTAAAAACTTCCAAGTTTTTTCACTCTTGGCATAAAAGTGACGCTGTCGTTTTTGCAGCCTACCCTAAGGTCTGGGGTTCGAGTCTCGGCCAGAAGTTTTTCACTATATATGCAATTGAAATTTTTCTAGGTTTGAGTTGAATTGTCAGACTTTCGTTTGTCTGCTCGAGGATTATCGGCTTAGTTACTACATCGCGAGTTTTTCTTAAACTATAAGTGATTTTGATTGTAGTTGAAAGTGCAAGTATTGCTACCTTTAGTTTCAAGGGGACTAAACCTAATTTTTTAAATTAAAATCATATTTTCAGGCTCATTTTGTGTCTGCTTAAAGATTTTTGGCTTTGTTTCCTCTTCCTTAATTTTTTCCGTTGGTAGTTTAATATTCAAATGTCCTGCATGTTTGTCTAGAACGAGCTTCTATCGAGAGATACGAAAATTTAAATTTTTGTTAGACTTAGTTTTTTCAACTTCTTTTGATTTTTAACTTTGTGTTCTATTGCAAGTGATGTGAAGCTCCGCTTCGCCTCTGTGTAACATTTTAACTTTCTATTCCTTGTCTTCTAATGCGTTTTTTTGCTTCGCCTTTATGTCTTAATAGTTCCTTTTATTTTAAAGGTAATAAATTGTATTTTCGGTAAATTATGTATCAATAAAACAAAAAGTAAAAAATGAGTTAACTGAGGTTGAGTCATGATTGCAAAACTCAACTGTATCATTTCATGACCTGAAGACTCAGCTTTATACATTTTTCCTTTTTCTTGTGGAAAAGAAACTTTGCATTGAACAGTGAAATATGTCATTTTAGTTACAGTTTGAAGATAGTAGTTCTTGGACAGGTGAGTATTCACAAGTACCAAAATGATAAATCAGTCCCATTTGTGCCAAAATAAAAATCAATCTAGTTAGTACCAAAAATATTCAATTGGCCAAAGACTACTAAGCCGACTACTTTAAGCTCTTGGTACTACCTACGATAAGCAGCTTTAATTTTCGTATAGAGTCCTACCCTCTGTTGGCAAGCTCGCAAGACGATGGCGCGACTGCGGCGGTCATGATTCTGCTCTTTAGTTTTTTTCTGTTTGAACAATAGAAAATTAATGTAATAATTCTTTGGCTCACAATTGAACCAATCAGAAATCGAGTTGAATAATTTTGGTACAAATGGGACCGATTGTTCATTTTGGTACAAATGAACCTTGGTACAAATGGGACTTCACCCTTCGACAGTTTTATGAGTTTTCAAAGTACTATGAAAAGTTTATAGAGATGTTTCTGGTGTAATGCATTAGTGGGCAAAATTAAACAAGAATGGCTATATCTAAATTGCTTGGTTTCTAGGACTGTTTTGACAATATTGACTTAGAATTTAATTCAATTTCCTGCACATAACGAAGCAATCGGCTTCAGTTTACTTCTATGAAAGTATCAATGCTTTCTTTTTTAGCTTAACTTTTGTTTCCATGTCTCAAAAATGCCAGCTTTTGCAGTCAAAAATTCGTTTTTCTTTCAACGTGAATTCTTTCTCGAATAATTAAAGTTAAAGCTGTTGTTCATGAGATGTCACAAACGCTCTGCAAGAAAGTTAAGTTTTTCAAAGTTGTGTAAACCCAGGTCTTTTCTCACAAATTAACGCCGTAGGGAAAATTTACATCAGATTGAAGAAACTGACATTTTCAGACTCCCCTAATCTAAAAATCAATTTTTGATTCTTTTCTAGAGGGTAGCTCGTTTCATTTGCTCTCATGTTGTACTTATTTACATGTTGTATTTATTTACATGGGAAATAATTTTTAGTTCTTTTCAAAGTTGACATTTCAAAGAGAAAATGGAATTGCTTTTATATATCACTCGATTGAAATAGTTGCTGAAATATTGATAAAAAACTTCTCACCAGCGCGACCATGCTACACTAGTGGCTAAAATAAAGCGCAAATTCAGGATTTCACTCTGTAAAACGCCTATTTTCAATGTACATTTTGGACCACATTTCCTTCAAAATTCAGTAAAACTTTTACATTGACCGAGAGCAAATGATCAGAGCTACCATCTGTGAAAGTATCAATAGTTGGTTTCAATGACTTACCAATATAATCCGCGTCTGAAAATGCCAGTTTTCCTCATCTGCGCTAAGTTTTTTTTTACTTCGCGTGAATAATTAACAAACGTCTGAGTTAAGTAAAAATTTTACACTGATTGTTTCCAATTTCTCGCTGAGAATGTTTCACGTTGCATGAACAGTTTTTTTTACTCCGCTTATCCAAGAAAAATTTCACTGCGAAGCAAAATTTAGTACAGATGAGGAAAACTGGCTTTTTCAAACCAGGATTACATTGGTGAGTCATTGAAACCAAATATTGATACTTTAACAGATGGTAGCTCTGATCATTCGCTCTCGGATAATGTAAAAATTTTAATGAATTT